GGAGCAGGAAGGCTGACGTTTCGGGCCTAGACCCTTGTTCAGAAAAAGGGTCTGAAGAAGAAGGGTCTAGGCCCAAAACGTCAGCCTTCCTGCTCCTCTGATGCTGCTTGGTCTGCTGTGTTCATTCAGCTCTACATCTTGTTATCTCAGATTCTCCAGCATTGGCAGTTCCTACTATCTCATACTATAAAGGAAATCAGGTTTTACTGATACCAGTCTTCCAATCGGCATAGAAGCCCCTTTCTAATGCTGACCAGACAAATTTTCTATTGAGTTCCTCTGGCTAATCTTCCAATGGAGGGACGTGCAAAACATCTTCAGCAAAGGGCAGACAGCATCTGTTCAGAGACCATGCCTCCTTTATATAGCACCAACTGCTGTATTCTGGTAACAGTTTGAATGTCCCAGGTCACTCTGTGAATACAGTGGCAGTGGGTCATGTATTCATTGGAAAAAGCAATGAAGTCTTTTGGATAATTCCTAGTAGCTTTCATTGCTTTCCTGTCAGTGGACTGGGCCTGAAAACAATTTGTTGTCGACTCTAACAAATAATAAAAAATAACAAAGTTTAGGAACATTGATCTTTCAGAACTCCTCCAATGGTCACCAGCATCACAGATGCCAGTCTTCAGCCAATTCATTTCACTCTATGTGACATTAAGAAACAGTTGGAGGCACTGGATACTGCAAAGGCTTTAGTCCCTGACAATATTCTGACAATAGTACTGAAGATTTGTGCTCCAGAACTTGCCGCTCCCTTAGCCAAGATCTTCCAGTAGAGGTACAACACTGGCACCTACCTGACAATGTGGAAAATTGCCCAGGTATGTTCTGTACCCAAAAATAAGGGCAAATCCAACCGGGTCATTTACCGCCCCATCAGTCTACTCTCAATTATCAGTCAAGTGATGGAAAGCGTCATCAACAGTGCTATCAAGCTGCCAAGACTACTCAGTTCCTGACCACATTACAGCCTTGGTTCCAACCTGGACAAAGAGCTAAATTCTAGAGGTGAGGTGAGGTGAGAGTGACAGCCCTTTACATCAAGGTTGCATTTGCCAGAACGTGGCATCAAGGAGAAACAGCAAAACTGGAATCAATGGGTATTAGGGGGAAAACTCTCCAGTGGTTGGAGTCAGACCTGACATATAAGGATGATGATTGTGGTTGTTGGAGATCAGTCATCTCAGCTCCAGTACATCTCTGTAGGAGTTCCTCAGGATAGAGCCCTAGGCCCAACCATCTTCAGCTGCTTCATCAATGACCTTCCCTCCATCGTAAGGTCAGAAGTAGGATGTTTGCTGACGATTGCATAATGTTCAGCACCATTTGTGACTCCTCAGCTACTGAAGCAGTCCATGTTCAAACACAGCAAAATCTGGACAATATCCAGGCTTGGGCTGACAAATTGCAAGTAACATTTGTGCCACTCAAATGCCAGGTAATGACCATCTCCAATAAGAAACAATCTAATCACCATCCCTTAACATTCAATGGTGTCACCATCACTGAATCCCTCACTATCAAAACCGTGGGGTTACTTTTGACTAGAAACTCAACTGGACTCACCACAGAAACAGTGGCGAAAAGAGCAGTTCAAAGGCTGGGAACACTGCAGGGAGTAACTCACCTCTTGACCTCTCCCCAAAGCCTGTCTACCATCTACAAGGCTCAAGTCAGGAGTGTGATTGAATATTCCCCACTTGCCTGGATGAGTGCAGCTCCAACAACCTTCAAAAGCTTGATGCCATCCAGAAAAAGGCAGCCTACTTGATTGGCACCACATCCACAAATATCTACTCCCTCTACCACTGACACTCAGTAGTACTAGTAGTAGTAGTAGTATTAGTAGTAGTGTGTACTATCTAGAAGATGAACTGCAGAAATTCACTAAAGATTACACAGCACCTTCCAAACCCATGATCACTTCCATCTAGAAAGTGAAAGGCAGATATATGGGAACACCACCTTTAAGTTCCCCTCCAAGTCATGTGAAAATATAAACACAGTTCCTTCACTGTCGTTGGGTCAAAATCCTGTAATTCCTTTCCTAAGGGCATTGTGGGTCAATTAACAGCATGTGGACTACAGCAGTTCAAGGCAGCAACTCACCACAACCATCTCAAGCTCAACTAGAGACAGGCAATAATTGCTGGCCGGCCAGCGACACCCATGTCCCACATGTGTATATAATAAAACAAACTAATCTGGCTGTCAAACCAGTGAAGTTGGGTCAAGTTGATGTTGGGAGGACAAGATGGCTGTTATTAAGATTGGGGCCAGTTAAACCATGGTGTTAAACCACGGTTTTATTCTATTCAATACCTACCGAATAACTACCTCAGTAAGTATATCGGAGCAATCCCAAGTCATTATTCATACCTAGAGACAATCATGCAGGGCTCCAGGAAGCTGGGAAATTTCTCAAAAGTTTAACTTCTCAGAGACCGTAAAATCAGGCAAGATTTCTTCTTTGAAATATATTTGCAAATTTCATTGAAAAGTCTTTCCTCAAAACATTGTTTCTGGAGAAAAATGGAGATTGTTGAACATGGTGGAATTATCTGACGAAGAAGAATGTGGGATGTAGTAAAGCGGGGTTGGAGATTGACTGAAATCATGAGGCAGTGGTAAAAGGAGATTTAAGGATATAATAGAGCTGAATGAATTGTGGGTGGCACAGGACCTCAGGGACGATATATCAGATTGAAATACATTGATGAAAAGCATATTAACGGCAAACTGCTTAGATTAATAGATCCTTGCACCAATGAGACAATTGGGTTACACCACATCCATCCACATCTCCAGGGCCACGAGTTTCAAACAGGACAGTAATAAATCCCAGAGTTTGGGACTGGATCCCCACGCTATTGACAGGTTTAGACACCGTCTGTTAACTAGTTTAAATCTCAGAAATCACCAAATATAATTTATAAATGAATTATTACCTATATCCATCAAGGAAGGCTTCACCGCTGCTGACGTCTGTGTCACCTGTAAGCATCTTAAATGTGGATGTTTTCCCAGCTCCATTGATCCCCAGAAGTCCAAAACACTGCAAGGAACCATTTATAGACTTCAGGAGAGATCTGTCTTGCCATCATCTAAAGTAAAGCTAACAAGATCAGGGTAGATAACTGCAGTTTTGGCAACCTCCATTAATCTTTCCATTTCTGTAAAGGTACTGACTTTCCCAGATATAAGCCCCATAAGCATGTGGCCATCTCTGATATTTCAACCAACATGTTGAAACAAGACCAGTCAGCTAAGCTAGGCAGGAAACAGAAAATAAGAGTGGGAGTAGGCCATTTGGTCCTTCAAGCCTTCTCCACCATTCAATATCATCACGGTTGATCATCCAACTCAGTACCCTGTTCCTGTTTTCTCACCCTCTTTGATCTGTTTAGCCCTAAGAACTATATGTAAATCCTCCTTGAAAATATTAAACATCTTGGTCTCAATCACTTTCAGTGGCAGGAATTCTATAGGCTCACCACTGTCTGGGTGAAGAAATTTCTCTTCATCTCGGTTCTAAATGGCTTATCCATTTCCTTAAACCGTGACCCCAGTTCTGAAATCTCCAGCCATCGGGAAGATCTTTCCTGCATTTATGCTGTCTAATACTGTTAGAATTTTATAAGTTTCTATGAAACGCCCCTTATTCTTCTAAATTTCAGTGAATATAGTTTTAACTGATCCTGTATCTCTTCATACATTAGCCCTGCCATCCCAAGAGTCAGTCTAACAAACCTTTGTTGCACTCCCTCCATAGCCAGAACATTCTTCCTCAGGTTAGGAAATCAAAACTGCACACAATGCTCCAGGTATGGTCTCACCAAGACCCTGTATAAGTGCAGCAAGGCATTCCTGCTCCTGTAATCAAATTCTCTCACTATGAAAAGCAGCATACTATTTGCCTTCTGTACCGCCTGCTTATTTTCAGTTACCGGTTTACAAAGACACCCACATTTCATTGCACTTTCCTCTTGCCCAATCTATTGCCATTCTGTTTATACTCTACCTTCCTGTTTTCACTAACAAAATGGATAACCTCATATTTATCCACACTGTACTTCATTGACCATGCATTTGCCCAATCACTGAACTTGTCCAAATCACAATAAAGTCAATCTCCTCACTGCTCATCTTCATACTTAGCTTTGTGTCATCTACAAACACGGAGATGTTCCATTTAGTTCCCTTGTCTAAATCACTATGCATATTGTGAATAGATGGGGTCCAAGCACAGGGTCCTGTGGTACCCCACTAGTCACTGCCTGCCACTTGGAAAAAGGCACATTTACTCCTACACTTAAATGGGTGCTTTTCCAAGCGAGCTGAAACTAGTTCTCTGTTCACTCGGTAGCTACAACAAATGCACTTTTCAACAAATGTCATTGGATAGGAAAACATGACATTCAAACTATGCCAAATATAACAATACTATCTATTCGCACACTCATGTGCACACAGACCAGCTCTCACCTCTCCAGGAGGAATTCCCACACATAGTCGGTCCACAGCTGGTTTCTTTTTCCTTCTGTAAACCTAAGAGACCAAATAAAATGACTTATTGTTAATTGATGGTTGTGGTTTACTGTTTTGCTTTTTTTTGTATTTGGCATAGAAAAATCCATCACTAGCCAAATAAACCAAATGCACATTTCCAAACCATGACTTATCCATTCAAATCATATCTGAAGAGAATATGCCCAGGTTTGCAAGGCACATGGTACTGAGTAAGCTAGCTGGAGCCATCTCATCAACAGAGCAAATGGTTGTAGGTTATCTCCAGCTGAATGGAAGGTTTTCCAAAACCCAATGGTCTACCTTTCCCAATTCCATTAGTGAGCCAGGCCTGGTCAATTGTTAGAGGTGCTGTCCAGTGTTGCAGATCAGCCTGCTTCAAACACTATTATTTGATTTGTCATCTTTAATCCAACTGAAATGTCACTTGCCTCCTCCACGACCACATTCCTCCCTACTTTCAATTCTCCACAACTCAATAATCGCTATTTAACTATCAGACAACCAACTTGCAGAATATTAGATATCAGGGATATCACATAAACAGCATAACTGATCATTTGATGAGTGTGTGTGTTACCACCATTCTTCTGCCATTTACACAACAACTGGCAGCAGTGCCAAGGTGCTTTCAGAAATGTTAACAGCACACACAAGCTTAACTGAGATCAGTTGATACAACATAACAGAAATCAAACTCAGGACTCACTGCTCTGTTTGATTCAGTACCACACAGGGAAATGTAGTTGCCAACTGAGAAAGCTGTGTTGCATTTCTCAATAATGAACCTCATGTTTTGTGTTAAGACGATCAAGCTGTTACAATTGGACAGTCTTAACAGATAGAGTGCACAGCAAAAACTGGAATCTCTCTTACCTTGGTGAGATCCTTGATGACTAGAATGTCACCATCACTTCCACCATATGTAACCCTTTGCCTCTCTCTAGCTACATCCTCATCTTCTGTTTCCAATGGTGGAAGTTTTAAAGACAGAGATCTATAGAGGAAAAAATAATGAGTCAGATGTTGACCGTAAATCAAACATGAAGTAAAACCAAAATATTTTGTAGCCTATACATTGGATCCTTGACAGTGTTGCATTACACAGGTAATACATTTACCCCTGGGTTTGGGAAAGTGATGTTAAGCTGCCCCTGTGCAAACAAGGCTGTGTTGCTGTGTTCACTCTTTATTTGACACTCACGCGTGTCTAACATCATACTGACCACTCAGTTGGACATGGCTGGCTGAACTTGCACATCACTAACTTTATCTTTGCATCTCAGCACACTAGTGGGAGATTGTAATTTTCCATGCTGCCTAATTAGGTCATCACACACATCATGCTTCCTTCCCTTGTTGGCTCCAAAAATCCTCCCACTTATACAATATACGAGTTCACGCACATACATTGTGGAGAGATGTGACCACATAACGTGAGCACACTGATGATCTGGGTCCTATACAGTGTATTTATTATCATGCCGAGGGAGCTACAAGTGAGTGAGTGACACCCCCAACTCTGAACAGGGAACAGAGTGAGAGTCCATAAATTGACATTTCATAGTGTGCCTTGATTGCAGTCTATTAGTGCATTGTGAAGGCCCATATAATTCACCATTCTTCCTGTGTAAGACAACAGAGATCAAGTGATGTCAGTGGATGTGGCCTTCACAAAACATCCATACTACAGAAGTGCAGGTGAGGACACAGGAGAAAAAGAATCCCTATTATCAACCCTCAAATAAACAGTGAGGTTCAGGAACTCTGGTGGGGGCGGGTGGGGGCGGGGGGGGGGGGGGGGGGGGGGGGGGGGGGGGGGGGGGGGGGGGGGGGCGGGGAGGAGGGGGCAGGGTCGGCAGTCAGCAATGCTGTAATGTGCAAAACTAAATTTTTTGCAATTTGTACAGTAAACTTGTAATCAGTAACCCCACAAGCAAACTACAATTAATGCATAATTGTAAATAATTCTCCTGAATTAGGAACCATTTTCTAGTAATATATTCACGCCCACTAGAAACTGGACTGAAACATCACATTCTAGAAGCTAGAATCCTCACAATCAGCTGGCATAGGAGACATTCTCCCCATCATTTAAGGCTGGGTGAAAATCCACATCCTAAAGTCAGAAGGTCTAATCCATAGTAACGGTCTATTAACAAACTGCAGCAGAGGGTCAGATCTACTATTTGCATTATAAAATGACATGCAGTCACTTACTGAACATAAATGACTTCCTTAACATAAAAAGGTGCTGCAGTAAAAGTAGAAACCGCGTTTGGGCACCTCACCTCATTTTGAAGAAGAATTTGTACTGCAGTAGGATTGTGAATAGAAAGAAGATGACTCCCTGGACAGCCATGGCAAACAGGTTCTTTCCCACCAGGTCCCAGGAGAGTGGAGATGTGAATATCTTCTCCCCTGAATTACAAAACGAATGGGTGGAAAATTCTTACTCCATTTTGAAACAATAGAAACATTGTCATATTTACCAAATCTGGAATGTTGATATTAGAGCTTTTTCCTGCTGCCTTTCACAGAGTCACTGACCTAGATTTTAAACACCATTGCTCTGGGTCTGGAGTTACATGGAGGTCAGACCAGGATGGAAGATCTCCCTCCCTACAGGCCATTAGTGAAACAGATGGATGTTTATAACTGGCAATGGTTACATGGTCTCTACTAGACTAGCACTGAATCTTTATCAAGTTCAAATTTCACCATTTGCCCTAAAGGGACTTGGGAACCATGACTCCACAGCATTAGCTTGGGTCTCCAAATTACTAGTCTAGTGACATTGTCACTCTACACCACTGCAACCAGCCCTCCCCCCCCAACTACTAGCACCATCAGCACCCACCCCACCCCACCCCACTCGTTTGGCCTCAGTGCCCCCATGGCAACTGATAATGTTCCTAATCTTCTTTATTTTTCAGTATTCAACCACAGTCCACACTCCTCGCACCTCCCTAAGGTTTGATGCACATCTGATATCAGCCAAAGCCAGATTGGGCTTGGCTGAGAGATCTTCTATTCACAGACCACTGCAGAGACTCAAAGTTAAATGTTTACACATGAGAAAAAGGCATTGGGTAAAGTCGCAGAAGGTGACTGCTGCTCAGAATATCTGTAAAGCAGCTTGAGTCAGCACTTTCACAGGATGGGGGCGGGAGTTGAGGGGAAGGGGAAAATAATCTGGCCACGAAAAAAGCAACAAGTTTCAGTGCAGCAAATATACTAATTTTGTATTTTGATTAAAGACTACTTTATTACAAAATCAGGGTACAAATTTAAATGTGGTGCAAGAAACAAGATCTGGAAATGTTTGTGAAGATATATTGTGCAAGACAGGTTAACAAAGTTCTTAATAAATCATATTGGATCTTGTGCTTTGTAAAGAGAGGCATAATGGCAGGAAGCTAGGCTAAATCACTGGGCACCACACTGTCAAAAAGGACAGTAGAAGTTTTAGAGAGGGAGTGGAAGAGATTTAAAAGAATGCAATGAGGGTCATAGCTACATTAATCAACTAGAAAAACTACAAATTGGTCTCCTTAAAATGAAGGAGGCAAAGTTGAGATTTAATCGGCTAGTTTATAATTATGATTTAGATAGAATAAAGAAGCAACTGTTTCTAAGGCTGAAGTTGAACAACTAGACAGTACAAATTTAAAGGTGATTAACAAAAGAACCAAAAAGGTGACATTAGAAAATAAACCTTATGCATTGGGAGGTTGGGATTTGGAATGTATTACAATGGAGACAGATTCAATAACAACCTTCAAAAACAAACAGGACAAATACTTGGAGGTTAACTTAGGAATAAGGAGAAAAACCTGGGTAATTGGAAAAACTGAAATGATCTTTCAAATACAGTAGCTTAATGACTGGCCTCGTTCTATGCTGTACTATTCAGTAACTTATTGTTGTAATAAGGGATTCATTAATGAAATCATGTGATCTGTAGCCTTGAAATGTGCACTTTTTGACCAACCAATTTTTTTATTCTTCATTACTCAGTTAAATTGCCTAAAGAAATATTTTAAAAGCTGGAAGTCTTGAATATTAAGTTTATATGTAGAAAATTTAAATTAACATGGCCTATCTGTCCTTAATTAAGTGATTGCTTTAAATTAATGATTTTAATTAATTTAGATTCCTCAGTTATTGAGAATCTCGAACTAGTCTTCAAAAATATCCAGACCCGATGTTATTCAGCATAAAATACAAGGGATATAATCTGGTACCGGCTAGATTTAGAAAAATCATTACAAACAGTTACTGACCAATCCTCTCGTATGCATCTGCCATAGCTTGATTCTTCACCATGTCGATCATGCCTCGGCCCAGGCAGAAATGTGGGAAAATAAGGAAAACTTTTTTCAGGATTTGATTGACCTCATCCAATTTCTACACAGAGGAAAAACAGAATCAGGAATTAAACCATTTAATTTCCACTATCTTCTTTACTTTCCTGGCCACTAATTCTTACTCCATGGACCTTAAACTTCTCACTAAAGTGTCCATTATCCAAGTACTAGTCCAGATTGAAAGTGGAATTTTGCATGCATGATCCTGACCTTACCTGACATCAAATACATACTCTCCAGTGTGGGTAACCAGAAATTTGGTCAGAAGGAGGGAGCCTGGATGATTTTTCTCTGCCTAAACAAGCTGCCCTGTGGCCAACTACAGGATTCTTATCACTGCCCCAACTAAGATTAATCTTGTTTGAGAGATTCTGGCTTGTATGTTTCAGCACTGCATTTGAATTTCTCCAGTATTAACCACAGCAAATTATAGAGAATTGCTGCAATTGCAACTTTGGTCTATTGGTTGCCAGAGAGAAAGGGTGATGAAAATTTCCCGCTCCACTCACTTAACTTTGGGATTAATATCCAAATGAATCATTTGAACAGGCGTATAGCGCCTCGGTTTAATGTTCGTCTGAAGGACAGCACATCCAACAATGCAGGGCTCCCTCAGTACGGCACTGGTGTCAGTATGCGCTTAAGCACTGCAATGAGTTTGAATCTGCAATCTCCTTACTCAGAGTCATAGAATCCTACAGCACAGAAACAGATCCTTCGGTCCAACTCATCCACGCCAACCAGGTATCCCGATCTGACCAAGTCCCATTTGCCAGCATTTGATCCATATCCCTTTAAACCCTTCCTATTCATGTACCCATCCAGATTTTTTTAAAACGTTGTAATTGTACCTACTTCCACCACTTCCCCTGGCAGCTCGTTCCATGCACGCACCACCCTCTGCATGAAAAAGTTGCCCTTTACGTCCCTTTTAGATTTTTCCCCTCTCACCTTAAACGTATGCCTTCTAGTTTTAGACACCCTCACCCTAGGAAAAATACTTTGGCTATTTACTCTTTCCATGACCTTCATGATTTTGTAAACCTCTATAAGGTCAGCCCTCAACCTCTGATGCTCCAGGGAAAAAAAGCCCCAGCCTATTCAGCCTCTCCCTATAATTCAAACCCTCCAGTCCAAGCAACATTTTGTAAATCTTTTCTGCATCGTCTCAAGTTTAACACATCCTTCCTATAGCAGGGTGACCAGAATTGTATGCAGCATTCTAAACGTGGCCTCAATGTCCTGTGCAGTCGCAACATCCAAACTCCTATACTCAATGTTCTGACCAATGAAAGCAAGTGTGTCAAACACCTTCTTCACCACCATCTACCCACAACTCCATTTCAAGGAGCTATACACCTGCACCCCTAGGTGTCTTTGTTCAGCAACACTGAAAGAGCTTTCAGTTGAGCCAATCTCTGATTCAATCATTCCTGTGTTATTGCCTCTTTCCAAATTCACTTTTCTAATGAAATAAAACACAAATTGTAAATTGGATCCATCACCATCTAACAGAGAAACATAGCAGACTTTCAATTTCAATGTTTCCGGTTTCGCTTTCATATATTTGTTACATCTCATATTCACAAAGATTAAATTCAAATTCTTGTTGCACCCGCTCAAGTCCTCACCAGAATCTTACAATACCAAAGGCAGCCCTCACTCCAACTCTGCAGGACCTCATTTATCAGCACTGCATCTAACAGAATAAAGATGTGATGTTGTACAGGCTGTGTATACTTTAACGTCAAGATAGCACCAGGATTGGATAAGATTAGCTGAGGAAAGTGCAAGTGGAAATTTCAGATGCACTGGCCCCATTATTGTGCCATCTTCCTTAGAATCGGTGGTACAAGAGGACTGGGGAATGGCCAGCCTTATGCCCTTGTTGAAAAGAACAGTGCAAAGATAAGCCCTGCAACTACAGGTTTAGGCCAGAGATAGTAGGAACTGCAGATGCTGGAGAATCCGAGACAACAAGGTGCAGAGCTGGATGAACACAGCAGGCCAAGCAGCATCATAGGAGTAAAACGGCTGACGTTTCGGGCCGAGACCCTTCATCAGAAATGGGGGAGGGGAAGGGGGTTCTGAAATAAATAGGGAGAGAGGGGGAAGCGGATAGAAGATGGATAGAGGAGAAGACAGGTGGAGAGGAAACAGACACGTCGAAGAGGCGGGGATGGAGCCAGTAAAGGTGAGTGCAGGTGGGGAGTTAGAGAGGGGATAGGTCAGTCCAGGGAGGACGGACAGGTCAAGGGGGCGGGATGTGGTTAGTAGGTAGGAGATGGGGGTGTGGCTTGAGGTGGGAGGAGGGGATAGGTGGGAGGAAGAACAGGTTAGGGAGGTGGGGACGAGCTGGACTGGTTGAGATGCGGTGGGGGGAGGGGAGATTTTGAAGCTTGTGAAATCCACATTGATACCATTGGGCTGCATGATACCATTCCAAGCGGAATACGAGTTGCTGTTCCTGCAACCTTCGGGTGGCATCGTTGTGGCACTGTAGGAGGCCCAGGATGGACATGTCATCTGAGGACTGGGAGGGGGAGTTGAAATGGTTCGCGACTGGGAGTTGCAGTTGTTTATTGCGAACCGAGCGTAGGTGTTCCGCAAAGCGGTCCCTGAGCCTCCGCTTGGTTTCCCTGATGTAGAGGAGGCCACAATGGGTACAGCGGATGCAGTATACCACATTGGCAGATGTGCAGGTGAACATCTGCTTGATGTGGAACGTCGTCTTGTGGCCTGGGATGGGGGTGAGGGAGGAGGTATGGGGGCAGGTGTAGCACTTCCTGCGGTTGCAGGGAAAAGTGCCAGGTGTGGTGGGGCTGGAGGGGAGTGTGGAGCGGACAAGGGAGTCACGGAGAGAGTGGTCCCTCCGGAAAGCAGATAAGGGTGGGGAGGGAAAGATGTCTTTGGTGGTGGGGTCGGATTGCAGATGGCGGAAGTGTCGGAGGATTATGCGTTGGATCCGGAGGTTGGTGGGAAGGTACGTGAGGACAAGGGGGACCCCACCTCTTCCTCAGTTACATTGATGACTGTATCGGCACCACCTCGTGCTCCCACGAGGAGCTCGAACAGTTCATCCACTTCACCAACACCTTCCACCCCAACCTTAAGTTCACCTGGACCATCTCTAATACCTCTCTCTCCTTCCTGGACCTCTCTGTTTCCATCTCGGGCAACCACCTAGAAACCGATATCCATTTCAAGTCCACCGACTCCCACAGCTACCTAGAATACACCTCCTCCCACCCACCTTCCTGCAAAAATGCCATCCCCTATTCCCAATTCCTTCGCCTCCGCCGCATCTGCTCCCAGGATGAGGCATTCCACTCCCGTACATCTCAGATGTCCTCGTTTTTCAAGGACCGCAACTTCCCCTCCTCAGTAGTCGAGAACGCCCTCAACCGTGTCTCCCACATTTTCCGCAACTCATCCCTCACACCCCGTCCCCGCAATAACTACCAAAAAAGAATCCCCCTCGTCCTCACGTACCATCCCACCAACCTCCGGATCCAACGCATAATCCTCCGACACTTCCGCCATCTGCAATCCGACCCCACCACCAAAGACATCTTTCCCTCCCCACCCTTATCTGCTTTCCGGAGGGACCACTCTCTCCGTGACTCCCTTGTCCGCTCCACACTCCGCTCCAGCCCCACCACACCTGGCACTTTTCCCTGCAACCGCAGGAAGTGCTACACCTGCCCCCATACCTCCTCCCTCACCCCCATCCCAGGCCACAAGACGACGTTCCACATCAAGCAGATGTTCACCTGCACATCTGCCAATGTGGTATACTGCATCCGCTGTACCCATTGTGGCCTCCTCTACATCAGGGAAACCAAGCGGAGGCTCAGGGACCGCTTTGCGGAACACCTACGCTCGGTTCGCAATAAACAACTGCAACTCCCAGTCGCGAACCATTTCAACTCCCCCTCCCAGTCCTCAGATGACATGTCCATCCTGGGCCTCCTAAAATGCCACAACGATGCCACCCGAAGGTTGCAGGAACAGCAACTCATATTCCGCTTGGGAACCCTGCAGCCCAATGGTATCAATGTGGATTTCACAAGCTTCAAAATCTCCCCTCCCCCTACCGCATCCCAAAACCAGCCCAGCTCGTCCCCACCTCCCTCACCTGTTCTTCCTCCCACCTTTCCCCTCCTCCCACCTCACGCTCCACCCCCATCTTCTACCTACTAACCATATCCCGCCCCCTTGACCTGTCCGTCCTCCCTGGACTGACCTATCCCCTCCCTAACTCCCCACCTGCACTCACCTTTACTGGCTCCATCCCCGCCTCTTCGACGTGTCTGTTTCCTCTCCACCGGTCTTCTCCTCTATCCATCTTCTATCCGCCTCCTCCTCTTTCCCCATTTATTTCAGAACCCCCTTCCCCTCCCCCATTTCTGATGAAGGGTCTAGGCCAGAATCGTCAGCCTTTTTGCTCCAATGCTGCTGCTTGGCCTGCTGTGTTCATCCAGCCCTGCACTTTGTTGTTACAGGTTTAGGCCAGTCAGTTTAGCTTTGATAGTGGGGTAACTTCCACAAAATATTCTGAAGAAAATTAGTCACTTTGGCAAGTGGGGGTTAATTGCGAAAAGCCAGCAGGGATTTGTCAAGGACAAGTTGTGTTTAACTAACTTGAAGTTTTTTTGCAGAGATAACAGAGGATTGATAAGAGTAATGCACATACATGAACTTCCAAAAAGCATTTGATATAGAACCACACAACAGACTTGTAAGCAACGTTTTTGCTCAATGAATAAAGGAGACAGTAGCAACATGGATACAAGGTTAATTCGGTCATACAAAATGGAATAGTGGTTATGGATGTTTTTTCAGACGGGAGTAAGGTTTGTACTGTATGTCCCCAGGGGTCAGTATTGGGACCTTTGCTTTTCCCGATTTATATTATTAATATAGACCTTGTTGTAGAAGGCACAATTTCAAAGTTTTTAGACACTACAAAACTTTGTGAACTATGAAAAGCATAATGTAAAATTTCAAAAAGGAATCTGACAAGTTGGTGGACAAATGACATTTAATGTAGAAAATTGTGAAGTGATTCATGCAATGAATGGAACATGAAGAGACAATATAAAATTAAAGGTACAATTCTAAAAGAAGCACAAAAGCAAGTGGACCTGGTTTGATACGTGCACAAGACATCAAAGACAGCAGCACAGTTTGACAGTATAATTAACAAACTATACAGTATTTTTTTAAATTCATTCACAGGATGTTGCTGTCTCGGCAGCATTTATTGTCCATTCCTAATTGCCCAGAGGGCAGTTAAGAGTCAACCACATTGTCGTGGGTCTGGAGTCTTTTGTAGGGCAGACCAGAAAAGGATGGCAGTCTCGTTCCCTAAAGGACATTAGTGAACCAGATGGGTTTTTCCTGACAATTGACAATGGATTCACGGTCATCATTAGATTCTTAACTCCGGATATTTATTGAATTCAAATTCCACCATGTGCCATGGTGGGATTCAAATCTGAGTCCCCACAACTTCATCTGGGTCTCTGGATTAACAGTCCAGCAAAAATACCACTAAGCCATCGCTTCCCTGTAACTGGGATTTACTAATATGGACATTAGTACAAGAGAACAAGAGCAAGGAGGATTTGTTCAGCACGTATAAAAAAATTAGTTTGGCATAAACTAGAAGCAATTTTAAATCAATTACACCGACTTCTTAAGGTTTAGTATCCAAAGTATGTGAAGGTGAAAGAGATGGTACAGTAAAGATTCACAGGATTGGTTTCAGGGATGAGGAGCTTATTATCTGGATATATTGGAGAAGATGGGACTGTTTTCTTTCAAGAAGGTAAACATTAAGAGGAAATTTGAGAAGAGGTACTCAAGATCATGAGGATCATTTGGACAGAATTGATAGAGAAGAACTTCACACTGGTGGATAGATCAAGAATGATTCAGGAAAGACACAGATTTAAGGTAAATGAACACATGAGCAGAAACCTTTACATGAGGTTACAGTTTAGGATCTAGCATGCACTGTCTGAGACTGTGGTGGGGGGAGGGTTGGGGTTCAGTTAAAACATTCATGAGGGAACTGGATTATCTGAAAAATAAAACAAAAAATCTGCAAGATTACAGGGAGAAGATGGGAGAAATGACACTGGACGTGGCACAGACACCACAGGCTGAATGGCCTCCTTCTGCAAGGATTCTGAGAGGTGTTTGAAATATCAACACCCAGTGACACAAGGAATACCAAGACATCAATACCCAGTAACAGGGCATCAACACCCAGTCATACTGGCATGGACAGAAGTTAACACCAGGGTGAAGTATTGATGCGTACCAGTCTGTCATGATGATGGTCCAGTTTGAGATGATGTATTATATATCATGCAGAGGTGTGGTAGAAAATTAAAAAAAAAGATTTAGGAGCAATTTTCCAACAGTATATCTGTACCATTACATTGAAAATGCTCAATGATAGCAATGGCATACAGCAACGTAGGACTTAGGAGCAGGAGTTATCACTTTGAGCCTGCTCCACTACTGAACAAGATCATGGGTGATTTGTTTGTGGTCTCAACTCCATTTTCTTGCCTGCACCCCATAACCCTTAGCTCTCTTCTCAAAAATCCACCTCAGATTTGAACACATTTAAAGACCCAACTTCCATCACATTCTGGGAAGAGTTCCACACACTAACAATTCTTTAGAGGGAAAAAAAAAATCCTTAACTTGGTCTTAACAGGGAGACTACTTTTATTAAAAATGTCCCCTAGTATTAGTGGCTCCCAGAAGATGAAACAGCCTCCAGGTATTCATCCCATTTAGTCCCCTCAAGATCTTTCATGTTTCAATAAGATCACTCCTTATTCTTCTTAACTCCAATAGATGTGGCCCCAACCTTTCTTCATAAAATAAACCCTACATCCCAGTAATGGGTTAAGTACAACCCCATTATCTGTTAATTACTTCAGATTTCCCTGAGTGTTACCAGACAGTATTTATGTAATAAGCATGAAAACAGTGTATTACCTTGTCACGGAAGAGCTCGAGGACAAACGTGGCCACGCTGCCATTGATACCGATGAACAGATTTACACAGGTTAGCACCACATAGGCAGAACTGGGGATACTGAACAAAAAGGATGCTGGATACATGAGGGGAGTGATGGACCAGCTGAAGAAACAGAATCAACAAACATGAAACCAAACAGGAAGGGCACCAGGAGAACTTTCACAAATTCAACTGTAATTACAGTTTGGGGATGAAAGGCCTTGTCCACTTACCCATAAAGGAACAGCAGGAGGATCAGTGCTGGTAAATTGGGGGCAGATACATACGACTTTTGTTGAAAGCAGATGAAGATAACGACTACCAGTGTTGCTGACACTGCGTAATTACACTGGAAAGGAAAAAGGTACAGAATGAGATAATTCACTGGTTATCAGTCTGCTCCTTCAAAAGAATAATCTAGCCCACCGTGGACTCCATGTGACTAACTTTCTCTTCTTGCACTATGTGTGAACTCCATACTATCATTAAGATTTAGGAAAAACAGGGACTCATTCAGCGACTGTGATGCATATGTGAGGCATTTTGAAAAGCTCATCCACTGATGTGCTTTCTCTATACAGTTCAGTAACTTCATCTGCTTCAAATACTTTGTGTAGTTCCCTTTCAATGATGTAATAGCTGCTGTTTCAATCTCTCCATGGAAAAGGATTTCATGCATTAACGCTCCATAAATTGTCCTAATCTCTCTTTTCGTTCTTGAAATTGATGGCACTTTGTCAGGGACTCCTGAACTAAACTCATGAACGGGCCAATGTCATCACTTACGGCCCTGAAAAGTGCCTACTATACCTCAGATTGGGCAAGGTATCTTAAGTTTGAGCAACCAGTGAAGCTAATGGTTTCGTACTGTTACAAGCAGTAGCAGCACAAACAGTGTTTGCCATTAACAGGATGCTGGCATCTAACTAAAAAGATATTCTGCACACCATCTAATTGAGTAATGCAGTACATAAATTTCAGTGCTGGAGTGATGCCAGATATGTTGGCCATCCATCCTGACCAGCATATCCCTTCAGTTGGTCACAACCAGCCACACTTGCAAAACTCAAAACAGTGTCCTCAAAATTAAATGTGATTGTTTTTAGACAACATTTGCTAAATAATCCTAAGTGTACAAAGAAGTATGCTGACAAGCAATGAGGTTAGCTGCATATATTAATACACAAGACCCTGATCACTGCTGACAGAAAGAACATGCACATACACTGTACTATTTCAACTCAACAAAAGAGGTGACAGCCAATTTCTGAAGGGTCCTGACCCAAAATGTCAGCTTTCCTCCTCCTCTGATGCTGCCTGGCCTGCTGTGTTCCTCCAGCTCCACACTTATCTCTGACTCCAACATTGGCAGTTCTTACTATTTCTGACAGCCATTCTCTAGTTCATTTCTCAGGACAATGCCTTGAACAGTCACAGTCAAAATGCCTAATTTAACATTTAAACAAAGCTTGGAAGTTGGTCATCATCCAACTTGTGGATTCTCCATGACAACCTCTCCAGAGTTCACTTTCCAACCAAACCAGCATGGTTCTTTTATATAGTAGAAATGTTGTTTTTCCCTTCACATTGGTATTTGTTGAAAAAAATCTTCCTGATGAGTGAAAATAAAAAGCTTAGAAAAAATCTGGCTTTTTCAGCAGTACTAAAGTTTAGGCTATTACTCAACTCCTTTTCATCACTTTGAAACTGTGAAATTTCCTCAGCTCTGCCAGCACTTGTGAAAATAATTTCAGTATTTCAAGTGTCATCTCATGACTAGTTTCCCTTCCCTGTAATCACCCTGGTGAGTTCATATTGCATTTTCTCTCTTGCTTTCCGTATGAGACAAACAATACTGCACACAATACTCATATAATGACCAACAATACATTCTGTATAAATATACCATTAAGTTATGTTACAGCTGTACAAAACTTTAGGTAGGCCACATTTGGAATACTGCATGCAGTTCTGGTTGCCACACTATTTGAAGGACGTGGGTGCTTTAGAGAGGGTGCAGAGAGGGTTTACCAGGATGTTACCTGTTCTGGAGGGTTTTAGTTATGAGGAGAGGTTGGATAAACTTGGATTGTTTTCACTGGAAAGACAGAAGCTGAGGGGTGATCTGATAGAGATGTACAAAATTATGAGAGGCATAGATAGGGTGGATAGTCAGAGGCTTTTTTCCCAGGATATAAAGGTCAACTAAAAAAGGGCACAGGTTCAAGGAGAGAGGGGGAAAGTTGAAGGGAGAAGTGTGGGGAAAATTTTTCACAAAGAGGATGGTGGGTGCCTGGTATGCACTGCCAGTGGAGGTGGTGGAAGCAAGCACGTTAGCAACATTTAAGGTGTATCTTGATAGACACATGAATGGGAGGTGAACAGACATATAGAAGCTGCACATGGGCAATAAGCAGCAGGTCTAAATAAGGAATAGGCATCAGAGCAGGCTTGGTAGGCTGACAGGCCTGTTCCTATGCTGTATCGTATTGCATTGTATTTCTTTATTCTCATAGCCTGTAATTCTTCTTAGCAAATCTCAAATTTGTACTTTCAGGGAATTAAATATTTGAACCTCAAGTCATTCTGTTCAGTCTTACCCCTTCCATTGTGTAATCTACCCATTCAATGTTTTTCTCCCAAAGTACATTACCACTTACTTAGCCACATTTTGGCTATGTCATCCTGAAGTTGTTCAGACTTATCTTCAGTTTTCCAAACTGCTTTAATGTGTATCAATAAATTTTTAGTATTGTGCTCTTGACACACAGGTCATCAATATATACAGCGAACAAAAGTAGACCTAGGCCTAGCCCTAACCCTAGGGGTTTGCAATATTCAATCACTGTCTGGTCCCAGCAAAGCCTATTAACTGTCTTTCTCTCTGTGAACCAATACTCTTACATTCCTTCTGTGACGAAGGAAAGAAGTTTCCAAACAATCTCTTGATTTCATCTTCTTTGTCACACCTGCTACATCACTCAGATCTATCCAGTTAGCCATTTCTTTAAAAAACGGCCGGCCTTTCATAAATCCACGATAGCTTAATCATACATCTAAATGATTAGAAACCTTCTTTTTTGAAGGATAGTATTCGACTGTTCTTCAATCCTGTTTCACTTCATCCCATCCAGTCCATGTACTATTTCAAACTCTACTCCATTAATTCAGTTTCTTTCCACAGCACATGGATAGTTTATTCTATCAAGAACTGTAACGCACTTACCATATCCCATGCAAAATTAGCAAGCCAATAAATGCCAGGTTTCACACCACTAACAAACTGAAGGTGCTTGGCTTTGCTGACACGTTCTTCAATGAGGAAGAGAACAAAGCTGGCTGGCACAAAGGACATGGCAAAGATGACACAAATGGAGACGAGCAAGTTAACAGAGATACCTATCCTAAAAAAAGGGAGAGAGGTTCTGCATCATACAATCAATGTTACCACATGGTCATGCAAATAATGATTTCAGATATCACTTTCATTATTAATGCACATTTGAAAAATGAAAATCACTTCAGCTAAAGAGATACAAGCATGGTGACTGGATAAAGCAACCATATTTGTGAAACATCAAATCAGAACAAGCAGCCCAGTGAATTCCAATCAACAGCAACTTTCACCTGAATGTTGTTCTTAATGCTTCTTCACAGAAGCAATCAAAAAATGACACTTACTCAACATTATAATCTGGCAATAAAATGCTTAATCAGCAGTTTGGATTTTCATGAGGCTTTTAAAGGATAAGGGAAATGGTGGTAAGGCAAAGCAGTTTAGGAATGGAATAGTAGATCTTGGGGCAAGCTACTGTTGTGTAACAACGTCATCTGCAGCCACCTTATGATGACGACGACATGGAACTGCTTGTTACAGTGTATAAACAGCAGTGTGGGTGGGGTTAGACTACACAATAGTATAGAATCAGAGTATTGAAAGCACATGAACATCAGTACAAGAAGAAGTTAGATTAATCTTTATATAATCTAACTACAAGATCAGAGCCTAGTTTCATGCATGGTGTATTTAGTATTAATGCATAACAAAAAGCATTATTTTCAAGTCTAAGCCAGAAGACAGTTCTTTATTTTGCCATCTCCTCAATCAGTCTGTCTGGAACTAAAACTCTGTGCCATCAAACCATGATAAAAGAGGCACCAACTGTAGGACTAAGGGAGCTGTGCAGAGAATTTGGGGTTGGACAGTGAGAAGTTACAGAGCTGGGAAAAGTCATTGAATAATTAAGGGTATGCTCAAATGGATTTAAACACAAAATATGAGAATTTCAAATTTGAGGTTCTGGGAAACAGAGCTCAAATATGCATCAGTGAAGATATGGGAAACGGATGAGGGTGAATGTGTGAGAAATGCGTTATTGCAGCTGAGTTTTGGTTGAGCTGAAGTTACAGTGGATGGAAGACAGTTAAGGAAGGTTTGGAATTGTTGAGGCTGAAGGTAACAAAGTCCAATATTTTGGCTGTTGAAGTAGATTGTTCCTGATATGAACAGGATACGAGGGTGGGAGCTCAGCTTTGTGTTAATTAGGATACTCCAGATGCAAAGTGTTTATTTAACCTGAGAGTGTCTGGGGAGGGGAGGCAAAGTTAAAGTTTGTACTAGGAGCTGAAGACAATGGCTCTGGTCTCAATTAAAAGCAAAGCAGATACTGGAATACCAAAATAAAAACAAAGTGCTGGAGAAACACAGCAGGTCTGATAGCATCTGTGGAGAGACAAACAGTTATTGTCTCGTGTCTAGTAGGACTCTTCTTCAGAACTCAGTTGAGTGAATGATCTCAACCTCCTTGACAAAGAAATACTTGAGCTCCTCAAACCTTTTACAAAGGATGAAAGGGAAAGGGAGAAGGCTTTGAGATCCCTAGTAGTAAAGAAAGAAAGCTTGGAGCAGCGGGTATCCAATTTAATCAAATAGTTACAAGTAAACATACAACAATGTAGAGGTGTTTCACTCCATACTGTAAATGTCATTCATTCATCCATGAATAAAAGCAAATTACTGCAGATGTTGGAGGTCTGAAATGTTAACTGTTTCTCTCTCCATAGATGTTGCCAGACCTCTTGTTCTCCAGCACATTTGTTTTTATCATCTAAAAAAAAGCAGAGTATTTGCCTGTAGAGGGCACATTCAGGCACATTGCTAGCCTTACCTCAGGTTCACACTCATAGGATCCCAGAGCCATCAGACAGTGACCACAAGTAGCAACCCTATCCATTTCCCCCACCTCCCCTATTTGGGGGCGTTTAGTCCAACTACATCACTGATACTGCACTGACTGAGATCAAAGGGGGACCCCATGATTTCTCTGGCTCAATCCCAGTGATTGCATTTTAACTTGTATGGATATGAGACTCTACCAGTTACTTACAGTGCGACTTCAGTGAACTGTTCTTTGGTCAGGTTCAGTGGGTGATTGTATGCAGTAATCCCAAACATTCTGGGATCTTTTCCTGGTGGAAGATTTGCTCTCAGCACTGCATTGCTCATAACATTCACAAAACTCACCATGGCATGACAGCCTTTATTGTTGAACCAGACCTAAAAAAGAAAACGATAAAGATTCTTTCCATATTTTTAAGAATACACTTGAGCCACTTGTTTCATAATTAAGTTGCTTCTAAACACTACACAGTTGAGCAACAGGCAACCACAACATACTGGTAATTACAATGGAGTTAATTACACACACGCTACATTCTACTGGCATGATATCCCAAGAATCAACCTCTTTCAACCTACATCTAATTTTCTCCTTCTTTTACAACGGGTGTCATCTCTTTCATTGTCAGTCTTTCAGCAACATTTCCCAGTTGTCACTCTTCATTCATGAGTTGGCTATTCTGTTGTGGTGGCAATAACAGCTGAACCTGGTACTGACCTTGGCTGGTGTGCAGAGATACACATTTTTTCCAGCAAGACCCATTTGTTGAAACAAACTGAGCAGAATTACAAAAATCGTTCACACTCTGAACTAACTGGACATTACCATTTCTAGGGAAACTGATCAACTTTATTCTGGGACCACGAACCAGGGAATGGGGAATTAATAAATAGACAGCAACAACGATGAATATTACGGTGACCAGAAGGAACAATCGCTGGCTAAGATGGTGTACTTAAGCTGTTTGTAGAGCAGTATAAAGAACAACACCTCAGGAAGTAAGATGGTTTCCAGTGGACTACAGCTCACAGCAGCCAGAGTCTGAAGCCTCATGCAGCCAGAACTCAGGATGGCAATGGGAGCAGGTCAGCAATAGGCTGGGCACACCAAGCAAGCAACATAATGCTTGTGCAAACACAAAACATTACTGGCATCAGCTGACTGGTGCACACCAATGGTCTCAGTGGGAGAAGTCACACTTGTGCCAGCAGATATTGCGAGCCATGTGCGTATGCACCACATAGTGCCTGCTGAATAGCATCAACAGTCAGTGTAGTCTAATAGAAGATGCATGGACCAGAAATGGAAAATCTATAACAAAAATAGAAATTGCTGGAGAAACTCGGTAGGTCTGGCAACATCTGTAGAGAGAAAACAGAGTTAACATTTCGGGTCCAGGGACCCTTCCTCAGAGCTTTCCGCAGTTCTTGAGTTTTTTTGTTCAATGGGAAATCTATCCTTGCTCCACTTGGCAGACACCAGCAAGAACCCTGCACTGCAGTGTAACTGGATAAAAGTGCCCATCCATCTTCCAAAGTCTTAACTGAAAAATAAAATCTTTAATATTATTGTACTTGGCAAGTCTGCTAATATATTGTTTACAGGAGTATTCTAACAAGTGATGTAAAGTATACTAAGAGGTCAAAGACATACTATGTTAGACTACAGACAGGACTTTTGCCCCATCTGACGCACATCTGTATTTACGTGCTGTATTTGAGTTGCCTTACTTTTTGTAACTACCAGCATATCCTTCTGTTCCTTTTTCTCTCCTGTATTTCACTAGAATGCAAATGTGCTGTTCACCTGTACTGTGGGGGTTAATCTGGCCTTAAGACCACGTAAATTAACGGAGGTCAATCAAAATTTGATTACTATAATGAGGGAGGTTTTTTAAATATTTGGTTCCAGATCAGTAAATAGCAGCAAATAATTTGTTTAAAAATACTATGACACTTCAAAGTGTAATGGAGCAAAAACTAAAGAAAGAAACACTTCAGACAGGCAGGAAAAAGACAGAAATTCTCCAAACATACTTTCACATTATTATTTGTGTTCAGCCCCTCGATAAAGTTTCCAATGTTTCCAAGCAGTCGGTCCATAGAACTATCCTGCCATCAACAGAAAACTGAACATCAGTAACTTAAAGTGAGAGTACAAAATAATTCTTGCAACCACATTTAAACTGACAGTCGTAATCCCAAATAAGATAACAGATAAATGAATGAGTCTGTGTTTTTATGGAGGTTACATGAACACTAAGCTGGATTGCAAAATTGCTAATTGATATTACTAGATTTTAACCAGATTGCAGTTCCACCAAGTGTCTACTGATGATGCTCTAGCCTGAGCCACCACTTGATGAGGAGTGGAAGGAAATACACAGACTTGGGGATTATAGAATGTCATTTTGAAAAATCTGTCACATCACAATCCTACAGAAAACTTCCAGTACATATTTAACAATTACAACATTTAATTGAAAGGTAATGGTTATATTTTGCACCAGTTGCGCAAGGATTGGATCCCAGCAAATAACGTCAACACGAGACTGACCAGGCCACTTTTAACCTGGGTATGGGATTCAAGATGTATTAAGAACATGGAACATAGAACATAGAACATAGAACAGTACAGCACAGTACAGGCCCTTCGGCCCACAATATTGTGCCGACCTATTATCCTACTAAGATCAAACTACCCTGCATACCCTACATTTTACTATCCTCCATGTGCCTATCCAAGAATTGCTTAAAAGTCTCTAAAGCATCTGACCTCATTACCACGGCAGGCAGCGCATTCCACGCACCCACCACTCTCTGTGTAAAGAACCTACCTCTGACATCTCCCCTATACCTTCCTCCAATCACTTTAAAATTATGCCCCCTTGTAATAGTCATTTCTACCCTGGGAAAAAGTCTCTGACTATCCACTCTATCTATGCCTCTCATCAACTTGTACACCTCAATCAAGTCACCTCTCATCCTTCTTTACTCCAATGAAAAAAGCCCTAGCTCCCTCAACCTTTCCTCATAAGACCTGCCCTCCAGTCCAGGCAGCATCCTGGTAAATCCCCTCTGCACCCTCTCTAAAGCTTCCACATCCCTCCTATAATGAGGCGACCAGAAATGAACACAATATTCCAAGTGTGGTCCAACCAGAGTTTTATAGAGCTGCAGCATAACCTCATGGCAATTAAACTCAATTCCCCTGCCAATGAAAGCCAACACACCATATGCCTTCTTTACAACCCTATCAACTTGGATAGCCACTTTGAGGGATCTATGGACGTGGACCCCAAGATCCCTCTGTTCCTCTACACTGCCGAGAATCCTGCCATTAACCCTGTATTCTGCATTCAAATTTGACCTTCCAAAATGAATCACTTCACACTTTTCTGGGTTGAATTCCATCTGCCACTTTTTTGCCCAGCTCTGAATCCTGTCAATGTCCCGTTGCAACCTACAACAGCCCTCCACGCTGTCCACAACTCCACCAACCTGCGTGTCATCGGCATATTTATGTTGAAGAATACATTTAAATTTAAACTGAAAGCGCTATAAATATAACAGGGCAACAACATATATAAAAATCAAATAAGTATCTCTGAACTGATGAAAATTTATATCGGCATGAGCTGACAAACACTTGTGTTCCCAATGCCTAAGACACTAAACCAGCAGATTTATGACTCACTCTGAAGCCTGAGATTAAAAGTTTTCTCTGTCTGCTGAATTTAAAAACCCAACATAAAACAACTTTAGACAGTCATAATTAATTGCTAATAAACTGGCACAAATTCCAAATATCAACATCATTCAGAGGTAACAGTATTCCAGCAGGTGGAGAAAATGGAAAAATATTACAGTTTAGAACTCTAGAGAGGCTTGGACTAGGTGGGAGCTTTATTCTCTATTTAACCTCTGTTGTAGATTCCCTTGGAGTGTTTGAGTAGTTAGTATAGAGGGAGCACATGTTTCAATTAGCAATGGACCTGACCTGAGAATGCATGGTGCATATGCAATATGAAATAGCTAAGTGCTCCAGTCCCCAAAGCTGACTGCCCTTGTGTCAATTTTGATGAAGTTCTGAATCATTCCTAAATGCTCATGGATTAGGTTGTCGGTTACTCAACATCTAACAGACATGCAGCAGAAATTGCAAATTAAACAGTGCAGATATTCAGGCCAGTTCCATACCTTTGTGACATTCAATCGTGACCTGATCTCAATAATGGAGATATTAACTTCGTTCAGCGAAGGTAAAACCTGGGAACTTCGTGCTCCCAATGAGAATCCTCCATACCTACAAGACATTATCATAATGAAGGTTCTGATTCTCTTTGAAGCCCAGACAGAACATGGAAACATTACAGTTTTACAGTGCACAGTTTTGTCATTACTTTGATTAAAAAAAAACTGCAGAAGTTGGAATCAAACAATAAACACAGACAATTTCACAAATGCATAGCAGGTTTGTCAGCAGCCGAAGGGAAAATAAGACACATTTGTGTTTCATGATTCATTAGCTGCATATCTCTTTTTCAAATGTTGACAGGATTGCCATGGATGTTTTTATTACAATTACTTTAAATTACTTTAAGAGTGTAAAGCTTTTAACCATATTACGTTCAGGAATGAGAGTCAAGAATAACATTTATGAAAATTAGCTAAGATTGCACATTTTAGGTACAGAGAACACTATTGATGGCCTGACAATGTTTGACAACAATGAATATCCATTTACAGACAGTGGGAATCTCAGGAGGGGCAGATTATTTTTATTTTGGGCAGTAAAGGATACATTCCCCTTAATAATTGCATCATCAATAGGTGAATACAAATCTGCTCATCCTGGGTATTGTGCAACATATCTTTTGCCTATTAACCTGGATGCAAGAATTTACCTGAACTCGTTCACCCACTTCTTAGTTTTCAGACTGTAAACACGAATAAGAGTTTCAAGTTACTTACAGAATACTGAACAAAAAACATGGTTTTAAAAGCATACTTAAGTAATTCAGTACAGGTATAATGACAAATGTATTTGGTTTGCGTCCAAGTTAGAGCCACATTGTACCTTTTACTAATGATCTGGGGGTAGGTTTTCACGAGGTAGTCCGATACATTCCTGCCAGTTAGATTCTGAAGAATGTCCCCAGTATTTCGCTGCAACTATTCAAAAATAGAAATTTGATTCTGTCAGCACAAAACAAAATTATACTGTTCCCAAGTACAGCCATTATGCGCCATGCACAAAACAGCCATTACAAAGTAATTACATCATTTTTGCCAGTGGAGAGGGAATTTAGATCGGGGTGGAGTGGTTAAACAAGTATAGCAAGAGCCTTTATAGTTGTATCTAAATATCAGAAAACTGAAAGGTTAATTTATCCTATTAGAATATTTCAGCAACCCAATGCTGTTAATTAAATCCAAGATCCTGAGAGATATAGGGTGGAGCATTGAATCGTGGCTCCAAAACCAGTGTGGTAGGTTGACAGTTCACAACTATATATTACATGCATTTTAAATAGCAGCCAGAAGACCTTAAATTAAAATATTAATGAAGAGTAACACCAAGCCCAGCCATCAGCTGTTTAGGATAGTAACCTTAAATAGGGTTAAAATGAACATCATAGTAACAATGGCCAATGGCTCAATGGATGGCAAGATAACATTTTTAGAAATAATGGGTGGAATCTTCTGCCTTTGTGGGTAGTGAGCCTAGAGACAGGAAGGGCACTTAATTAGGCAAGCAATTACATGCTCGAATCCCTCCTTCACCAGAAATAACATTTTGGGTGGGAAAGGCAATGGTTGACTTATTCACCTCACCACTGACTGAAGCTCTTAAATCGGCTAACTAAGGACATTCAATGGCCTCAGCCCGCCATCACTAGGACTAACTCAACTATGAGCAGGCCTATTGCCATATGGTGTACAGAGTAGCTGCTACCCTACAGGTAGCTGATTACCCCAGGGTTTGGGATTTGAGGGAGCATCCTTCAATCAAAGGCGGTCAATTGAGAGAGACTGGACATCAGGTAGGGGTATTTCTTCTAGGGAGTCAACACTTGAAGTAAAAGGAACCCTCACTACAGCTTGTCATAGTACAGGATTCTTCCTGGTAATTTTGCTGTCACTATCTTCTTTCCTGGTAGAGATCTATAAATCCTGTTCAGATTTAGTGTGATACAGAAAAATACTTGGTCATGTAACAATAGGCTCATGTCTAAAACAAACATAGTTCATTGCATCTTAGCAACTTGGTACAAGTTGTATCGGTATGTTAGAGACTGTTACTATGTCTATAAGGAAGACAAAAGGAAAACACTGCCCTTACTTCTGAAATTCCTGTTAAAAGGAGGCTGCTAAAATGAAGAGAAGAGAACTCTCTTCAAAAGAAAAAAACAAGTTAATGTTCTGCCTCTATAAAACAAATTTTACAAAATAAATTTCTTCATATGAAAGCAGAAACAAAGATAATCAAAATGGAAGCCAAAATTACCATGCACAAATTGTGGCAATTTAGCGACTTCTATGAAAAAAGTGGATATAAGAATTGATGCAGAGGTACTGGAAAAAATACAGATAAATATAGCCAACAGGATGCAAAGTATGCAGACAGGAATTGTATGCACTTAAAATTTCTAATAAATTACAGAAATAGAGATACAGATATTTCAAAATTGCAACCACACTCTAATTATGTCAGAAGCAAACATCTGAGCATGTACAATGACATCAAAACAAATGCAGCAAAATTTCCTCAGGCCAGATTCTATTTACAGTTCCACAAGAAACAATAACTATATCACTACACACAACTGTGATAATCACACCATCTAGGATCCGTTGTGAATTCCCAACAAATTAGAAAGAAATCTCAATTTGTAAATTGGCCTATTGTAAAAATCAACTTGAGACTTAGCTATTTTTGAAACAGTCAGGCAAAAGCATCAGCACCACAGAGGCAGCAAGACAGGGTAAGACTCTTACAACTGGACCCATCACCTCAGACCTGTCGAACTCACCTGAGGGGGCGGGAGTCCTCCTGCTCCTTCTCCACATAAAGGCAACATCCTCTGGGTCTTCTTTGAGCTGCACTGACACGCAGGGGATGGATTTTGCATAGTCCAGTTACCACTGCGGAAGATCTTCAGGGCTGATTCTGAAACTTGGGGAATTATCCAATCAGTTCCACCTTCTTGGCACTGCATACTTCTGTGGTGCAGGAGGAGAAAAGAAAAGGCAAGAAAATGATTGGAAGGGACTCAATTTAAAATGAAATCCTTAATGTCCATCCAATATAAACACATAGTTCAAGACTGGTTACAAATTTCATAGGTAAACAATGTCTGGGGAGTGAATGTTCTAGCATGGCAGTGTCCTGCTGCACACTATTTCCCAGTCACTGACTCTGGACAAACGGCCTCAAGGATAAACCATACTGTTTCACAAACTTTGTGCCCTTGACTACTCCTTGACCTTGAGCTTCTGAACACATTTCCATGTCATCTCTTAAGACTGTCTATTTCCACCTCTGTTGCGCGACTCCACCCTGCTTCAGTTCATCTGCTACTGAAACCTTCATTCTTGTTATTTCTAGAATCAAAAGAATCAAGTCTTACAAAGCTTTTCTGGCTGGCCTCGCACACCTTGCTCAAGACCCCTTTTGCAAATTTGGGTACCCCACCCCCACCCCAACCCCACACATCTGCAGGTGACACACCCCCAACCCACCACTGTTTCTCTATCAAGAACCTCATCCCTTGCAATTATTAGCTCTTGCAATCACCTCTCCTGCCATCCAAGAGATCCTGCCTTCCTGTCCAGCCCTGTACTTAATCTAGACCTGCCCACTGTTACCACTGACTGCTGAGGCTACAGATCCATTGGAAAATTCGATTATTCAAATACTAAATAACCCTTCCCATTGTATAAACTTTTCCAGACTTACAAGAGACACTTCTGTGCCACTGCAATTCTAGACTCTTGTGAACGTCCAATATTAATTACCCCATCATTGACTGTCTTGCATTCAATTGCCAATGTCTCAAGCTTTTAAATTCCTTTCTAAACCTCTCTGCCTCCTGTCCTTCTTTTAAACATGCTCTTTAAAAACTACCTCTTTGACTAAGCTTTTGGTCATCTACTCTAACATCTGCTTGTAACTTGCTGTCAATTTTTGTTTCATACTCCTGCACAGCACAGATTTTCCAATAGTAAAGATGCTAGATACATACAAGCTGATGTTACTGCCCCAAAGGTTCACCTTTGTCAGGTAACTGATGTGCCCTACAATGCCAACAGTCAGAGTTTACATCCTCGTACCTAAACATTTATAAACCGTTCAAGTTGTCGATACAATCAGATCTCTGCCATTCTGATTTAGGATACAACTACTAATGAAGCAAAGCACTAAGGATAGCTACTTGAAAACCTCCAAAACCTTGAAAACCAGCAAAATTAAGCAGTGAATTGGAATTCTACGTAGAAATGAATGGATTAGCTTGGGTTACATGTGAAGTTTGGATCCACTATTCAAAGTTCAAAATTATTCGTGTATGAGCCTTTAATGTGTGCAATGGAGGCGCTATTCTGTTTTTCAGAAGTTTGAAATGAGTCCATGCATGATCTCTGATTCAGTGCTGCAATCAAATGTCTTATTCTGATGGGTTCACAGAGAATAGATGGAATATCTCGCTGAGACTGCAATATGGAGCAAGTCTTCGACATGTCACATGGTCATTAAAGTAGTGTTGGGGGGATTAGACAGAGCAAATTGAATGTTATGATAACATCATCAACATGAATTTCTATCATCCAAGTGAAATACAACAGGCAAGAAGTAGGGATGAAGGGGGTATGGTGGTGAAGAGAACAAATTAAGTGCAAATATTGTACAACAGGTGAAGGATAAAGTAACCTCAGATAAACACTCACTCATTTGTTCCACTTTCCATACACTTGGTGCCAAATCCAGGGTCACTGAGGAGTGCACTGATCAGATCGCGAGTGGTAGGATCCTCTGGAAAGTCATCACTGATGGACCAAATAGATAAAGTAGATCAACAACTGGAAAACAATAGATCTGCTCACAAACTGTGCAAACAGTTGGAAAAAGTTGAATAAGATTCTATAAGCAATCCACCCCTGCCTGTCAGTCCAAAAGTTTAAGCCTCACTCCAAGAGGAGGGTTCCAGATGTAGGCTATTCACTATGCAAATAAGCTCTTGTATCTTGACCAACATTCCTTCCTCAATCATCAATCATTACCAAAGAGAGGTGGACTGCCCACTCTTCTCATTGTGGTTTGCAGAACCTGGCAGTTTACAAAATGACTGCTACATCTCCACAAAACTAGTGACTGCTATCCTTGAAAGAACTCATGGTGGACTCATTTTGAAACATCTGAGACACGTCATAAGGCATTGTACAATTCAAAAACCTCCTTAAGGCTCTGACCTGTGCTTCCTGCTGCATCAGAGTGCAGTATTCAACAGCCAATGACTGGTTATTTTGAACTCTTGGCGATATAAATCAAGTTGAGTACCTGATGAAAGTGTACTGTTCTCCATACATCCAGGGACTCAGTTCTAATGGTGGATATTTCCCAAATGGAGGCACAATCATACTGAAGAACAGAGCAATAAACACAAACAATGCAGGTAGCACAATCTGGAAAGATATAACAGGTAACATCTATTAATTCATTTATCCCATTGTCAATGGGTCAATCATTTTATACTGTCTTTCCCAGCATTGATATGCTGTATATTAGGTAGATTAGGTAGACTCCATCAAATAAGGTGGGTTTACTATCAACTGTCAATTGCCGTTTGCAGCTGCTGAGTGCAAGGCCAACGGGAAAATCCCCAGCTCCATTTTTTCTACTCATTCACAGGATGAGGCGTCATTGGCTAGGCAGCATTTATTGCCCGTCCCTAATTGCCCAGTGGGCACTTAAGAGTCAACCACATTGCTGCCGGTCTGGAATCACATGTAGGCCAGACCGGGTAAGAATGGCAGTTCCCTTCTCTAAAAGGACAGGAGTGAATGGCCCTCTCTGCTCACTCTCTGGGAGGTTGAATGAGGGAGAACAGGAAGAGTTGAAAACCCCTCAATGTCAGCATAGAAAACTCTCAGGCAGGTTTAACACAGGTTAGATGTTGAGTGAAAATCTCTGTTCGCTGTCTGTCAGAAATGCACACCATATTTCAGGAGCTTGAGGATTACATTTCCATCATTGGCCACTGTGGAGTTTTAAACCTACCAGAGAAGAGGAATGTTAATGATTCTATAGGTTGCGTTTTATCCCAGCAGTGGAAAGTATTTGCGACAATGTAAATGTGACGTTAGCCAGTGTCCAAGCACCCAAATGTTTTCAGTGACTCCTCCAGCAAGATTGCACATGATGTTAGCTTGGACACATAACCCACACTGTAACAACCCAGTGCCAAGGCTGGTACATGGCTTCATGGACAAGAAACTAGGGAGAGTGGTGGTTGTTAAATTGAATCCTAGCAACTCATCTACTTTTGGGGGCAAGGTTTTAAAGATGTTTGTTCTGAGGATACAAGGGATGTTGATAAGGCTGGCACATGCCTTATTGCCCTAAAAGGTGCTGGTGTTGGGCCTTCCAATCAAACCACTGAGTGGTTTCATGCCAATGAGTGGCTTTGTCAGGCCACTTCTGATGCTATTTACGAGTCAACTCCTCTGGTGTGGGACTGGGAGTCATGAACTATTTAAAAGTAAAAATAGAACTGTATGCCAACAAAAGTCAGCCATTTTGGGTGATGCTGAGCAAGTGGAGATGGGAGTATAAAAGGGTCAAGGTGGAAAACAGCATCGTATGGATCATTAAAACTACCTGAGCAAAAAGTCCTCTACGACTTCGGCGGGCATACAGGAAGCGCTTGATGAACAAGGAATGGAACTGTTGTCGGGTGAGCTGCCAGCCACGTAATTGGTATGAACCTCTGCCTTCCATACATTGCATAAAGTCGGTCTCCTTGGGTTCTGATCAGGTTTTAAAAAAATACTTTTATTATAAAATGGCAATGCTTTTACCTCAAATGTTCCATAAAAGACCAGCCTGTAATGTTACAGGATTGGTGAAGATTGCCAATAATGCAACAAATAATCAATGCTGAAGAAGATTTTCTGAAGAAGGGTCTAGGCTCGAAACGTCGGCCTTCCTGCTCCTCTGGTGCTGCTTGGCCTGCTGTGTTCATCCAGCTCTACACCTTGTTGTCTCAGATTCTCCAGCATCTGCAGTTCCTACTATCTCTGAAATAATCAATGCTCTAAGGTTTTTATTTTCTAAATGTTGACATGTATTTTGTTGTTTATTTATTGCATTGAGACCTGTGTTCATTGCTAAAGCTGTATTTAGAAAATAATCAATTTAAACTCTCATATCTCTGCATCCTCTAAAATATTCCCTTCTCAGTTTCCACTTTGTATAGATACCAGACACAATATTGTAACATCTTTAATTTTGCCATCCTTCACAGGTGATCCCAGGCCTCAAGTTCCTGCTGATGGGCTGTGATGTGCATCATAACCTATCCTGATCAAATATCCACACACGTGGAGGGTTCTGTAAAATCTGGCTCAGGAACTTCCAGCCAGTGTTCTTCTCAAACGAGCAACAGAGCTCCCTAACATCAGTTCCACGTGGTCAATGCAGGTCACAAATAATACAGCCCTAATTCTGTCATCAATGTCACTTCCTTGCTTATATGTTACTCCAAGAGCTAATGGATGAAGTATTGGACAAGTGTAACCAGCTCTAAAACAGCTTCTCTTTCAGGATTTGCACATGCTCCTAACAGATTAGCTTGAATCAAAACCCAATCCAATTTATATTTCAGTCATACCTTTCCTTCGACCTTTCCTTTTTACTGGCATTTAGGAAGCATTAGAGAAAGAGAGACAACATGTTCAAAACAATAAACATTTAACAAATATATTGAAAGTAATCCTGAATTTGCATCAAATTCTTGGATGTACTGCTTCCATAATTGGAACAAGCAGTGAAGGCACTAGCAGTATTCTTGTTGTTAAATTTGGAGATAATAACATGGATTCATTGGGTAAATTACAGTCTATTTTTCATTTTCCCTCTTATTAATAATCATTCATTTCATGATCAAGTGTTTTCATTTTTGCCATTTTAATCTATTTTTTGTTCTGACTCCCCACTTTGGCTGTCAGAGCAACATCGTGTCAGTTGATGTGAGCAGATTTCATTTACTCCTTGAACCTTACTCTAGGCTTCAGTCATGACAATATTGCCTCTAAAATGTAGTAGCATCATTAAATATGCATATTACCAGGTTCTGTGTCAGGTAGTTCAAAATCCCCTTCCTCACTAACTGGCTGCAGTGTGTGCTCACTGGACCTTGAACATCTGACTCTTTTAATGGGAACATTTCCATCTGTGAATAAGGATACAGAAAGCAAGAAATAAATCTTCACTCAATAAAACAGGCAAAAAAATTAACGAGTACTGCAGTGGCAGAACAAGTCCTTCTGCTGATGCATCAATCATATTTCAATGCTCATTCCAATAAACTGTTCTAATAATTTGCTGCAACAATTAAGTAGCAGCCAAATCTGACCAGGCATGAAATCCCACCTCAGGAATGGATCTTTCATTGGTAATAATCCAATGGATGGATCCCGAACCAAAGTTTCCTCTAATTTCCCTTGGCAGTGCATGCCCGTTTTCATGCATTGACTGCCCCTTTAATACTCCTGTGCAGCTGTGCACACACGTTTTGGAGAGTGAACATTAGTTATGCAAAGCCTGATTGCTGACTGTATCTTGGATTCTACATTTCCATGCAATTGCACACCCACATAGCTTGGAGCATTTTGTGCCCAAGAACCGAAATTTTGTGATTTATCCCATTCCTTCTCCCACATCCCATCCTCCACGATCTCAGATGAATGTTTAAGTGAAGTAAAAATACTCCAGAGACCCAAATGTCCTCAAACTTAGGTAAGCACAGAATCCACGTAGGAGTCCAGAAGTAAGAAGAAGTCATAGTTGACTCCACAGGCTCTGCTGCAACTGCAATACTTGTGCTTACAGATATTTTTAATTAACATGTTCACGTCTGCTATGACGCAGCTCTGCAGCAAACGAGGCTTAAACCTAGGACATCCAGGCTCAGAGGTAGGGACACATTCACTGCACCACAAGAACTCTAACTTGTACTCATACATACTTAACACGAGATCATCCTCTGAATGGGGTATTCTGGAAAGCTGATACTTAAAAACAAAGTGCACAGAAACACTAATTGTTTTCTGGGAAAACACCAAGGTCCACCTAGCATGTCAGTAGTTACTTGAAATGATGAGAGAGTTATTAACTAATTAACTGGACAAGAGACCCAGATACAACATGAGGAAAACTACATGGTTGGTGAGTTTTGGGATCCAAAGTTATTTTCTCCTCTCAAGCTTGTTACACTTTGAACACATAATGCTTCTAATCAACCATACCCTACACCAAAATGCAAAGGTGCAATTTAAATAACTTAATTGGTCTCCGGCAAATAGGATTCTGCTGTCTCACAAACATTTTGGATGGCCCCACCATGCTCATTTGTTTTTGGTATTTTAATTGCCCAACATCATCTTCTCAATCAGTCTCTCCATCTCTTCCCCCGACCCCCACACACCCAGGTACATTCATACTACGGTAACATCATCAAGAGCAACAGCTATCCAACTCCAGTGAACATTGGCCAGCTCTTTCCCTAGACAAGTATCTCATTATGTCAGCCCTCTGCACAGTAATGCATGACACAGAAGACCATTCAGCCCATTTGATTTGCAACGGCTCTTTCAAACAGCAAACCACTTAATCCCAGCAACATTATTCTCTTGAAGTAGTTATCAATCCCCATTTGAAAAAGGACGATACAAGATTCAACATCCTTTTACAGCATTCTTAATCTTAGCAGCATTGTGCAATGAAGTACTGCGCCAGTCCACCCATAATTCCTTTGTTAAACAGCGTGCACTGTGCTCCCTGGTTATTCATTCAGCCCCTAGAAAGAGTTTCTTTGCAACTATTGTATCTAAATGCTCTATGATATTAAACACCTCAATCAAGGCTCCTTTTGACCATCCCGACTTGAAGAACAACCCCAGCTTCTAAATCTCTTGCGCACCTTTTCAAAGCTTTTGTGTCCTTCCTAAAACATGGGCACACAATTGGATACAATACTCCTACTGGGATCAAATTTGTGTTTTACAAAGATTCAGCATACCTTCCAGCTTTTTGTATGCTATACCTCAATTTAAAACGCCCGCTATGCTTTGCAACACCTTTATCAATTTGTTCTGCTACCATTGGCAACTTGTGTACAAATGCTCTCCAGCCACAACCACAATCTGTGTTACATAGAACATAGAACGTAGAACATAGAACATTACAGCGCAGTACAGGCCCTTCAGCCCTCGATGTTGCGCCGACCTGTGAAACTTATCTGAAGCCCATCTAACCTAAACTATTCCATTATCATCCATATGTTTATCCAATGACCATTTAAATGCCCTTAAAGTGGGCGAGTCTACTATATTTGCAGGCAGGGCATTCCACGCCCTTACTACTCTCTGAGTAAAGAACCTACCTCTGACATCTGTCCTATATCTATCACCCCTCAATTTAAAGCTATGTCCCCTCGTGCTAGCCATTACCATCCGAGGAAAAAGGCTCCCACTGTCCACCCTATCTAATCCTCTGATCATCTTGTATGTCTCTATCAAGTCACCTCTTAACCTTCTTCTCTCTAACGAAAACAGCCTCAAAACCCTCAGCCTTTCCTCATAAGACCTTCCCTCCATACCAGGCAACATCCTGGTAAATCTCCTCTGCACCCTTTCCAATGCTTCCACATCCTTCCTATAATGCGGTGACCAGAACTGTACGCAATACTCCAAGTGCGGCCGCACCAGAGTTTTGT